AATTAAACCTTCCCGGAGATACACCTAATAATTTCCAAAATTTTTACGGTGCTTGAATGTATGGTTTTTGGATCCATCGAGTACAGACAGACGACAGACAGACAGACAACATTCATTTTTATATATATAGAGGATTAGTATTAAAATATAGGTCTAACATTGACTCTGTTATTTTTAATCACCGTTTCCCTTGTTTAAAAAAATGTTTTCTACTTTGTGTATGAGTTACTTATTTGGATATGTGAAATGAGTATGTGCTTATTAAACACACACATACATATATATATGTTATATATACACACATATCAACATCTCGCACAATGAAGCACAAATTCGCTTAAAAATATGCACCATCTTAGCAGTGTAATGCTTCAAATGAAGATAATCTACTGGCATGCGAGTGTACTGCCATAATCACTGTCCGTCATCCCTTTTCGCTACGTACACATATCAGCCGCTAACAGAAGCAAAACATGAAAAAATTATAAAAAATACAAAACTCAAAACGAAAATAAAAACAAAACAAATAAAAAATTCAAACAGTAAAATACAATTACAAAATATTTCTGGTTTTTATTTTTATTTCTCCTTCGCCCGTTCTATTTCAACATAATATTTACTATTTTTACTTTTTGCATACACTGTGCTTGCAGCGTGCAAAAAAAAACAACAATTTCGATTTCATGAGTATTATCAGCCAGCCGAACATTTGTGGGTCAGCGTCGCTAAGCGAAGTCGCCTTCTTCCAACTACTTCCAACGCTAATGGAAAGCTTAACTATGCTTGCGATGTACAAGCACAATATACATTTGCATTTGTATGTATGAGTGCTGCCCACGCTTTTCCAAGCAATCGTAGCCATACGATTTGCTTAGTTGATGCTGGCGCGTGTACTTTGTACACATTTTGTGTGTTTTGCGTTGAGTACGAAAAGAAAATTTTGTGTTGCTGCTAAGTAGCAGCGTAAGTAGTGCAGCGCTGCTGACTGTGCTACGTTGCAGAGCTAATAATTTCGCAAACGAGTTTCATTCACAAAATTTGTCGTTTTCAGTCCATCGTTTCGTGCTTCCATCGCAGAAATTCGCACATCTGTTGTATTTGTTATTATTCGAAGTTGGCACTGCGCAAAATCATTGCAGATTTTTCTTTCATTGTGTTTGCTGTTAGTGTGTCGATTGTCGCGATGTCCTTGTAACGGTTCTTTTACTGTTATTACATGTTATTCCATTTTCTGTTTTTTTTCGCCTTCAATATTTTTATTCTTAAACTATGGATAGATAGTTCACCTATTAGGGAAAATAGGTGAAATGTTTCTTTTTCGATAGAATTTTATTTTGATTTACTTTGGTTTTAATTTTAAGCTGGCAAATTGTAAAAGCAAAATTTTGCAAAAATCACAAATAAAAACTCATATTTTCAATAGTTCATTCATATATTTATTTGCTCCTTTCTCACTTCCTTTATGACTTGTCGCTGACATTAATTTATACAAATTAGTTTTATTTTAAAAAAATTAGTTCCATAAAACCATTCAAGTAAACAGGTATTACTATTGTAAAGCTGCTTCTAAAAAAATAAACAAATGTCACAGTATTAACTAACAGCACCAAAAATACTCAAAACAAGTTGAGAAGATGAAAAAACGAAAAGAACATTTTTACAAACACAACACTTAACACTTAACTGGTCCAAAATAAACCTTATGCTTAAAAATTTTGGAAGAAAATCTTGCTTAAAATATATTCAATGTTAAAAAGAAGAAAACTAAAAACATTTTTTTGCCTACCAAACTTAACATAAAGTATTCACAAAAATAAATACATGAATATATAAAATGAAATAACATAATGAAATGCAAGGATTTGAGTTCTAATTCTAAAAGGATTTGAGTTTTAAGGACGAAAGTTTACGAATGAGTTTTAAATTTTTTATATTTCAGTAAAGGTTAAATAGGCGACTTATTAAACTTGTCTCGATATCAATGGATTTCAAGCTACACCTGTACAGAGCATACACTTCCGATAAGTAGTTTTTACTAATTCCTTTGCAAATTAATGACTCCAAACTAGTTAATATTACTGTAATATCTGCTATCACACTATACCTATAAAGATATAGTCTGCTATACTCACGATACAATGATATTGTACAGTATATATAGTATTCTTATAGCATATTCAAAATATACACTTAATAGAAAATATGTAAATATATCTATGTCTACTCTTATATATATCTTCTTCATTATATAAGCAAACCGAACAAAAAGTTTGTAAAATCCAGTAGAACCATCTCGATTAATAAAACACTATATATAATTGACATATCCTACACCAAATCGTATTTGTTAGCTATAAGGTAACACTAAGTATATATAAGTTTATGAATAAAGTTATTGGTTTTGAATTTGTAAAATAGAAGTTCTGTTATACACGCATTATATTTTTTATTACTACCGTTTTTGTACCTCCACTAGACATTAATATGTTACTTAAATATTGAAACTTATTGACTCATCCAAACGTTAGAACATAAAATTCCAATGGTTCTATTCAATTTGCATTGGTAATCGCCTTTTTTTGTTTTGGTTTGATTAATAAAAAACGAACGATAGCAGATTTATGAACAAGACCGTCAAACCGATCATAGTCCAAATGATGTGCCCGACTCTCTAACATGTTTATATGTAGTATACGGGCTAAGACTTAAACATCTTGTTTTCGAAGAGTTTTGATATCGCGCCGGAACCGCTTTCGCATTACTGCATTAATTGGCTTTGAGAACTTAAATCACTTATCACTGCAATGCAATTAATATTAATGAAAAATGAATATATATAAACGTATGATTTCAATGTACATACATAATTTCCATTGAATGTACATACATTCAAACTAAATATTAAGGAAGTTTCTCAATTACTCTCAAAGGGTATGCAATATATTTATGTTATGTTACGCTATAACAACGATCCTAAAAATCCACTTAAATGTATTGGCTCATTGGATTACCTTATATAGACTCAGAGATTTATTGAATCAGACTCAGAGACCTTGAACCTTTGGCAAAGTTTCAAATAATCTTTAGAGGGAGATGATGGAGTTGTTCAAAATCGTCAAAAAACCAAGCCTCTAAAATAGTATAATGTCCATACGTGCATATGCTGAATGATAACAAAACAGATATGAGGCACTTTCATTGTCCTCTCTACTACTGCAATCTTCTAGCATGGTTTCTTTATCAGCTGTAATCTGTCAGCTGAAATGATCTGTTGGAAATGATCTCTAGAGAGAGATGGTGGAGTTGTCCAAGATCCTCAAAAAAGCAAGCCTCTAAAATAGTAAAATAGGGTTGTGTATTCGCTGAATAGTATCAAAACCGATATGAGGCACTTTCATTGTCCTCTCCACTACTATACTACTGCCATCTTCTAGCATGGTTTCCTTATCAGCTGTGATGATAACAAACCTATCAAAAGACTAATATTTTTAGCGACATTTCAATGAGAGTATTGGATTTCTTATTTTCCTATCTTTACCTTTCTATCATTACCTTCTCATCTTTTATTAAATACATAAAATAGTATTTAATTATGATTTCGATTTATGTTTCACTAAAATTTAATTTAACCGACCTTAAGATAAATATATAACAATTGTGTATTAAATTCTCTACTTTAAATGAAGAAAATTTCTTTGTATATGAAACAATGAAGGATTGCTAAAAATTAGTGGCTAAGTTCCAACCATTCACGATATTTTTCGCAATATTTGAGTAAAAATTAAAAGACGAGGTATCATTGTCACATCAGGTTAAAGCATAACTTTTTAATCTGCTGCTTTTCAAAATGAAACTAAAACATGATAAGTAGGATTAAAAGGTATTAGTAGGAATTACGCTTATAGGCCAAGTGTTGGATGCAGAGAAGAGCACTTCTGATATAGGTAAGGAACAAACAAAAAATCGCAAATAAATGAAATGAATAAAAATAAACATGCAAAATAAAAAAAAAAAAATAAAAACAAAAAATATTCAAATACGAATACGAAGAGAGAGAAAGTGAGAGTTGTGAAGTGTGCTGAGTAACTGCTGTCATTAGTGATTATGCATATTTTGCTACATTTTTTTGTGCCTTAGTCAATTTGAATATCTATGAGCACACCCTATCCGCACTGCTCTTAAGCATAGCAAAAAAAAAAGGCAGCATGCGAAACAAAAGAAAAATATTAGCAAAACAATAATAACAACACAATACAACACTGGAAAAATCCGAGTAGAAAAGGAAGAGAAACGTGTGGAACATAAGTAATGTGAAAAGCTTTTTTTGCTCTTTCAGTGTTTAAATAGTCAGCTGTCTGGAAATGTAAGTGAGTGTGTAAGCACGGAGCAACGAAGAGAATCAAAAAACACACACTTGAATGGTATTAGATAAAATGTGTGCTCACCAGTTTTGTCAGCAAAGCCCTGACATATTGTAACGTCGACTAGTTTGTTCTTTTTCCAGTTAAGCGCCATCTGCAACAGTAGCACTGTCAGTGCCATTTCAGGCCATTTGCCAAAAGCAGGGTAGTACGGTGTATCCTGCAACGCGCAACCGTTCACATGAAAATATAATAGTTAAATTTAAATAAAAAAATTTCAAAATTACAAAATTACAAAACTGTAAATTATATATTAAATGTTAACATTTTTTATACACAAACAATATATAAATAAATACAATATTTCGATATTTCGACTCTCGTCTATCGTCTGTCGACTGTCGTTGATGTGAAAAGTTTTTTAAAAATTTTCCCGTTTGTAAACTTGCGCAAATAACGTGAATTTTCTGAAAAAGTTAAGAAAAATTGAAACATGAAAAATACCTACACACACGGTAGAGTGGAAAAATTTA